ATTGTTAAATCTTAAGCATTAAGATTAGGACCAGACCCAGAATTCGCACCTTATATGTTTGATGAATGTTCATGCAGGAGTTCATGCAGCAGTTCAGAATTTCTGTAAAAAAAAAAAAAAATGTCAGATTATAAAGTGCATTCAGTCAGATTAAACTTTTAAATTTGTTTGCTCATAATAATCCCCACAGCAGTAAAATATGTTAAGTATGATTTTAATCACATTATACGGCATATATGCTTTAAAAGTTTTCGTTCACTCTAAACATGTGAGCCTGCTCTAGTCCAGCAGACAGATTAGGCCTCCATTCAAGAACAAAAGATGATGCACTTACATTTTACGGCTTTCTCTTACATATCTATAGTGCTTTTCCGTGTCAGAGCTCCCCCATGGCAGATACCACAAAATAAATATTTGTAAAATTCAGATTGCATATTGAATTGTCTTAGCGGGTGTAACGCTACAACAGTGTGCTCAGTGTAGTTTGATTTACAAACAAATGACTCTTTTTAAAGGTTGAATTATTGTAGTTTCAAACCCTGCTTTTAACCCCGGGTAGAGAAACATTTCACACTTGTAATTTCGCTTTTTACCCGGGGGTTTATGAAAACCTACTCCAGATTGCAGTGTCAGTGTGAATGCAGTGTTAGAATATTATGGCTAGATGCTTAGCAACAGACAATGGGAGTAAAGAAGAGTAATGCTGTAAATAATGCTGTATTTGCCCAATTTATGACACTGACCCCGCAAAATGCAAATAAGTTTAGGAATGTACAGTGTGAATCGTCAGTTTATGAATACGCAGGATTGATTGTTAACCCCAGCTAAATTAAATTGTGAGCAGTGTGAATCAAGATAACTCTGGATTCCATTTACCCGGGTTTTAAAAAGACCCAGGGTTAACAATTTCAAGTGTGAAAAGCCCCCCAAAAAATGATTACTTTCACTGTTGTGAGTTCTACTGAATCCTCTGTTGTCCACGTAACTTAGGTATAATAATGTGAACTAAAAATAGTTGTTTCATTGCAATAAGAGGCCAACAGTATAAATGTCGGATGTGTCCCTTATCTGAGGCTATCTAATCCAGATACATTTCAAAACGCTCTCTGTCCAGCATTTTCAAGCTTTTTCCAAGAAATTTCTCATCCACTGAAACATCAGAAAACACTAAAATCACCTTGCTGCATGTGTAAAATGTAATTAAAGCTCAAGGAGATGATACAGAGAGACAAGACATAATAAAGTTCTCATGCTATTCTTCTGCCACAGTTATTTTTTTTTTTAGCAAAATATCCCACCACTCACTGGTGTGTCCAGGTAGCACTCAATCACCATTCCATGTATGGTCTAAAACACAATTGCCCTCATGTTTTGCCACAAAACAGTAGTATTTATCTTCACAAGAAAAAAAAATGAATAGCACAAAGCAGGCATTATTATACATAACAATATCTATCGTTACAATATGCGTCACAATGTATCATCGTTTTCAAATACATCTGTTTTCACAGTCCACTCTAAAACACTAAAAACATTTTCAAATGTATCCACTTGGGTGAGCATCTTCAAAAAAGCTGGTTTTGGAGGACAAAAACGCCATCTAAGTGTGGAGAGAAGGTCAAAACATGCAAAAAAAGATTCATTTTCAAATAGACACAGCCTGACCCATCTATTTCTGGGCTGCGTTCAGCCCTGACAAAACGGTGCAAAACGTTTTTTAAACGGAAACGGTGGTGCGTTGATCACCCTGTTCTGATGACGCAAGAGTTGCAACTATGGCAGCTGAGAAGGCCATTCTTTGTGTTCTTTTTGAAGAATTTTCGGAGCCTGATGAAATCGGTATAAATACGTGTTTAATACTGCAAAATACGCTCGATGGTACAGTCACT